TGCAACTGGAAGTAATTGCGTCATGAGAACATGACAGTCATGGGACTTTAAGTTACAGAATTTCTTCTCTAGCACATTTATAATACCCTTTATATTCAAGGAGAATCCAGATGGTACCTTGATGTTGTTTAAGCATTCAAACATGATTTCCTTCTCCTCTTTGCTTAGAGTGTAGCTGGCAGGACGTAAGTAATGGCGTCCATCATCTGTCTTCTCTAGATGCAGGTTGTCTCTTTCTCTCAAACAACGCAGGTCCTGTCGTGCTTCAAATGTGTCCTTAGGCTTTCCATACACACCCATGAAGCCTAGCAGGTTCACACAAAGATTTTTCGTCAGGTGCATCACGTCGATCGAGCTGCGGACTTCTAGGACTTGCCAATAGGGTAGGTCCTAAAATATGGACTTCTTCTTCCACATGGGTGCGTGACCGTTAGCGTCGTTCGGAATAGGTTGGCTTCCATGTCCTTTTCCAAAGACAACTTTCACATCATTGACCATATCGAGTACATCCTCACCGGTTCGGTTGCGAGGCTTGGTCAGGTGGTCTGCCTTCCCTTTAAAATGCTTGCCTTTCTTTCTTACGGGATGATTTACAGGAAGAAATCGACGATGGCCAAGGTACATGACCTTTCGACATTTTTCCAAGAATACACCTCTAATATCACCGAAGCAGTGTGTGCATGCATTATATCCCTTGTTTGACTGTCCTGAAAGATTACTTAGAGTAGGCCAATCATTGATTGTTACGAACAACAATGCTCGTAGATCAAAGTGTTCCTGTTTGTACTCATCCCACACACGTACACCTTCTTTATTCCACAAAATGAGAAGTTCATCAATAAGTGGTCTCAGGTACACATCGATGTCATTGCCAGGTTGCTTCGGGCCTTGGATGAGCACAGGCATCATAATGAACTTCCGCTTCATGCATAACCAAGGAGGAATGTTGTAGATACTTAGAGTAACAGGCCAAGTGCTATGACTATTGTTCTGCTCTCCAAAAGGATTGATACCATCTGTACTTAAAGCAAACCTTAAGTTTCTTGCGTCATTTGCAAACTCCGGGAATTCTCTGTCGATTGCTCTCCACTGGGACCCATCAGCAGGGTGTCTCAACATATTGTCTACCTTATGGTATTCTTTGTGCCATTGCAACAATTTTGCATGTTCTTTGTTTTTGAATAGACGTTTCAAGCGTGGTATTATAGGAGCATACCACATAACCTTGGCAGGGATTTTCTTCCACGGACGTTCGCCCTCAACATCACCAGGGTCATCTCGCCTGATCTTATACCGCGATGCATGGCATACCGGGCATGCATCTAATTTCTCATACTCTTTGCCACGGTACAGGATGCAGTCATTAGGACATGCATGTATCTTCTCGATTTCTAGCCCCATAGGACAGACAACTTGTTTTGCTTCGTAGGTAGTGGCGGGCAATTCATTGTCCTTCGGAAGCATCTTCTTTTGGATTTTTAGTAACTCTCCAAATCCCTTGTCAGATACACCATTCTTTGCCTTCCATTGCAGCAATTCTAGTGTGGTTCCCAACTTTTTCTGCTCTACATCACAAGTTGGGTACAACAATTTGTTGTGATCTTCTAGCATCCACTCGAACTTGATCTTCTCCTTTTCACTTTCATATTCTCTTTGTGCGTCACGAATGACCTGACAAAGATCATCAGCAGGCTCATCTTCTATGGCTACCTCTTCTTCAGCTTCTCCCATTGCAGTATCATTGAAGCACGCACCATCGGGAATAATATCATTGTTGTCCCATTGTTCTTCTTCACCTTCTTCCATTACAACGCCGATTTCTCCGTGCTTCGTCCAACAAATATAGTTTGGCATGAAACCCGACTTGAACAAGTGTGAATGAAGAGTCCTTGAGCAAGGATATTCCACCGTATTCTTACATATGACACATGGGTAGCACATGAAACCGCCGCGTTTGTTTGCCTCGCCAGACGTAATAAAAAGAATGCACGCCGTCAATGAACTCTTGGGAGCGGCGATCAAGCATTGTACATCCAATGCCGGCTCATCTGCATTACATGACATAAATACCATATTAAAACCTAGATCATAATTAATTATTTATACAACATGTGTGCCACCATAAAAGGTATAAATTTATGAAAGCATCGCTACAATGTAGACAATCCCAACTACCACTAAAAGAACTAAAGCTAAAATACATTTTAGGAGCACAAGGATTTTGCGACCAATCTCAACTAAAACAGACAGATCCAACGATTGTGCAACATCTTTGGGCTTCTTCTTTTTGGATCATCGCCTCATTAGCCGCCAGATATCTCACTGTTGTGCAGTAAGATATTTTTGCACGAGTTCAACATACTCTTCCTCCCAGTAGAAGCCTGAACATCGTCCACTGCCATCCCACTTAAATTAAAACAAAAAATTAGAACTTTAATCACAACCATCATGAAAATAGGTATAAACTAACCATAATCATTAAATACGATAAAATAACTCACATTGCGATCTGGACACTTGTAGAAGATATGATCCTTCTTGTGACCCTCCTTCTTCACTCAGTACTCCATCACAATCTTCGTCTCATCACCACACTTGCCGCATGGAATGAGAGGGAGGCCCAGCCTAAGTCGCTTTGGAAACCCATGAGAGGCCGAGGACCTGGAAGCAGTTGCCATCTACTCTCTATACTCATTTTTAATACACTATAAATTTCTCATTTTATAAACAAATAAAATTAAGAAACTATAAAATTATCTATATCTCAAAAACATATTTTAATAAATAACCATCCGTACTAGTTGACCTTGCTTACGTGATCATCTCGGCAAGTATTTCTTCACCGGACGGCACCGTACTTGGTTAAGGAAGAGCTCCGATTCTACGAGGAAGGGAACACGGTCTTCCACGACCGTTGCCGCTCTCCCTCGTAGAATCAAAGCTCCTCCTTGACGTCCGTTACCGCTCGGCAGAGAACATGCTCGCCGAGATGAACACGGTCCGCAAGTTTAATTAGCTACTTTAACCTTCTTTCATGTAAATATGCAAGCTTGAAGTGATTTTGAGCTCAAATTGCTTACAAATGAAAAAACCACAATAAAGAACGATATATATATATAGTGAACAAAATGAGATAAGACAATTGTGAAAAATGAGAGTATGAGATTGGTAACCTTTACAACTGAAGAATCGACGGAGGAATCGAAGAAATCGACGGAGGAATCGAAGAATTGATGGAGAAACAATGGAGGGAGGGAGGAAGCAAGAACACTAGTGCAGTGAGCTTCAAAATGTGCTGAGCTCGGGTTCGGGGAGGAAGAAGGAGACGACCGAGATATAAAGGGGGGACCTTTAGTCCCGGTTGGTGGCTCCAACCGGGACTAAAGGTAACTTTCCAACCCTGGGCGCAGCCACGGCCCGGGGGTAGACCTTTACTCACGGTTGGAGCCACCAATCGGGAGTAAAAGTATACCTTTAGTCCCGGTTGGTGGCTCCAACCGGGACTAAAGGTCCCTGCCACCTCTGCCTGGCGTAGTAGCCGTTGGGCAGGGACATTTAGTCCCGGTTGGAGCCACCAACCGGGACTAAAGGTATCTCTAGTCCCGAGCGCAAAAAATGCCGGGACTAGAGCCCATTTTGGCCGAGGATCAAAGGTCTGTTCTCTACTAGTGTTGATAAGAGGGCAGTGTTGAAAGAGATCCAAGTCATTGTGGCTTCTTCAACAATGAGGATGTAAGAATTCCTTTATGGTTTGATCAAACCTCAGTTAAGTCATGTGTCTCTTGTGTTCTTGTGTTCATCTTGTTCTTACTGATTTGTACATTATCCGTAGGATCTTTGTTTGAGTATCTTTGAATGCAGGAATCTCAGGAGAGACATTTCTACGCATCTTCTATAGGCATAGTGCATCCGAACCTTGGGATAAATCTCATGTCTTCCTCTGTTCTGGTTTGGTTTGATGATTTCACTTGTGATCAACATTCATATATATTGCTTGTGTGTGGTAGTTGCTTGTAGTTGTAGCTCTTCAACTTAGTTGTAGTTTTAGTTAGTTGAGTAGCTAGTTTAGTGGCTCCTCTTGTTTAGCTAGCTAGAGAAGCCTTGTTTAGTTGTTATCCTTGTGTTGCTGAGTGCTCTAGTGGTAGAGATCAATTGATACTAGAACTGTGTAGGGGTTTGTATTGGGTGACATAGAGCTAGGTAAAGCTGTGGCTATTAGGCTTTGTTATTTTATTAATATTTGCTCCAGTGGTTGTGAGTTTGTAGAAAATTTTTCATAGGCTATTCCTCACACCTCTAGCCATCAGATTCTTTCACCTAGTTCACTCACACCGCCTGGCTGATCCTAAAAGCTGATAGGGCAAGACCCCCCCTCTCCCCGCTACCGACAACCTATGGGAAAGCAAGACTAGCGGTTCGATCACTGGCTCTTAATGGGACCCTCGGCAACCGGCATAACAACGATGGGTAAAAAAGAGTCGTGCTCTCCCCGGCCACGAGGGACCCATGAAACCTGGTAGAAAAATATAAAAGTAGAGGCTCTGATACGACGGTCTTTGTTGGATTTGCTCCAAACCAATGCTCACTATTAACTAGCATGTGGTCCCATGAAACGTGTCTCATGTGTCATAGGCAGTGTTTGGTAGAGATTCCCGGCCAACTCTCCAAACTATTATGTGTATAATTTATCAAACGGCTAAAATGCAAATCGTTTCATGGTAGCTGTGATGCAAACAAAGGTGGTGAGTAAAGCTAAAAAGAGTAGCTTCTACGAGCTCCTTAACCTTAATATACTTCAAAAAGCTGTTTTACGAAGCATTTTTAAAAAATAGTTTAAATTTTTTATTAGTAAAGTTGTTTAGGATGGGTCGATGAAGCAGAGCTGCAGGGGCCTAGAATGACTCACAGCTGAGAGTGGACTACTGAACTGTGACCTCCCACCTCCCAAAAGAAAAGCACAGAAAAAGAAAACAAAGAGCCGGAGCCGCGGCTCATCGGCGATGACGAAGCCGGCGGCGGCGGCGGCGGCGGCGAGGAAGCCCTCTGCGGCGTCGACCGTCGCACTGACACTGGCTCTGGCCCTGGCCTCGGCTGGCCTCCTCTTCCTCCTACTCCGCCTCTCTCCCTCCTCCCCGTCCCCCACCGCGCACCCGCACCGCCGCCTCCGCCTCCGCGCCCGCGCGCCCGCGCACCACCACCAGATCCCATTCGACCCTGTCGTCGCGGACATCGAGCGCCGCCTCAAAGACCGCGACTGGGAGCGCCTCGCCGCCGCGGGGCTGCACGTGCCGGGGATGGAGGCGGCGCCGGTCCCAGAGGATCTCACCGACGGCGAGGCCGACGCCGACGAGGACTACATCAACGACGCCGCGCGCTTCAACTTGACGCTTCGCGTGGAGGCGCTGTTCCCAAAGATCGACGTCGACCCTGCCGATGGCGCCGTCACGGGCGCCGAGCTGGCCGCGTGGAACCTCGCGAATGCGCGGCGGGAGGTGCTGCACCGCACCGCCCGGGAGCTCGAGCTGCACGACCGCGATCACGACGGCCGCGTCGCCTTCGGCGAGTACGAGCGGCCCAGCTGGGCCTGGCGTTTCGACGGTACGTGCACATATGTATGTACGATTCCAGCTGTTTATGTTTGATTCTTTAGTGAGGTTTGGATCCTTGCACTAAATTTGGAAGTTCGTTGGATACTCGTAGTCCAGCAACGACAGCTGGTAGGTAAGCTCTGAATCTTGGTGCCAAGATTTGTTTGGCCACGTCCTGTTGTTGGATTTGGGGATTCAAATGCTGATTTTTAGGCTACATTGTGATGTTAAGTCATTTTACTTCTACATAACGGAGATGTGGTTATGTAAATAACCTGCCTTTGCTAGTCCATTTGCCATGTATATGTATACTTCGGCCACCTTGAAGCCAAGCTATTGAACTTTCATGTTATAACTGATGTTTTAGACTTTTAGTAAGATATCCTGGAAATCCTTTCACTGTAATTTTGCTTACATTTAATGCTTCAAATTGACCACTTCTCAAATAAAATGAATGAGGTCTGCTGCCTATAGTTCTAAGAAATGTGGATCCTTTTCCAAGGCCCCTATGCCTGAATTATACTCCCTCTGCTCCACATTATAAGATGTTTTGGCTTTTCTAGATACATTGGTTTTACTATGTATCTAGACATAGTAAATATCTAAGTTCATGGCAAAAGCTATGTATCTAGAAAAGTCAAAACATCTTATAATTGGGAATGGAGGGAGTAGCAAATATTTATATATTTTTAATCCCTAATCTTCAATTGGGAGCTACACCATGTGTGGCAACTGGGAACCTTTATAGTCTCCAGTGATGTAAACATATGCCTTTGTCAATTGTCACTAGTTTTTTTCCTTGAAACTGTAATTATGATTTGTATGCTCATATGAATGTTACTCCAGATCAGTGCCTATGTAGTGGCATGACATAAGCTGCAAGTGCTATTGCTACCAAGTTGGGAGTTCTGGTAATTTTTCAATATACCTGAATTGTCCATTTTACATGTGTTCATGGTGTCGACTAATAGATGCTGAACTTCCAGTTTGCCATATGTGTTGAACAAAGATTCAATAACTACATAACAACTTGAATAGTTGTCAACTAGTCACATGGATTGACCAAGTTGTATACATTACATGGGATGAAAAAGTTTAGATGTGCGTGCCTACCAATCTCATAGAAAATAGTCCCATTTATGTACGGATCATAACTCAGCAAGAAATGGTATGGGATTGTGGAAAGAGTTCAATAGGCCACGACCGGTAATGACTAAATCATCACATACATACCTTAGTGATTTCAGCACTAAGCCTCATCTATGTCCAGATCATAACTCAACTAATGATGGAGTGGGATGGTGGAAGGAGGAGCATTTTAGTGCTGCAGATATGGATGGTGATGGCTTTCTAAATCTTACTGAGTTTAATGAGTATAACCTCTTCTCAGACCACGTATTTTCTAAACCCCTTATTTTCTTATCCAACATTTATTAGTTTGCCTTTCTGCCTGCAGCTTTTTACATCCAGCTGATACAACCAACCCAAAGCTAATACATTGGTTGTGCAAAGAAGAAGTCAGGTGCAAGTTTTTCCTCTAAACTTTTCCGTTACATGTTTGTATTCGAGTCCAAGCAGTATTATTTCAGTTCTGTTCAAGAACAACAATGATGGAAAAGTTTATTTTTCCTCTATTTCAATGGAACCAAATTAGATGTTCCCTTACCAGAATTAGAGATTATAACAATATGCATAAATAAAAGAATAATAATTCTGGGGTGCTCTGCGTACCAGTTGCCACACATGGTTTATTCCTTGATTGTAAATTATGTGGGACACAATAACTGACTAGCCAAGCACCACAAGCAACTAAGGAAGAAACAGAGTTGACTAAGCAATTCATGTGAGGTTTAGCACTAATTTGATAACTATAAGCATCCACAAATTTAGGGTAGTTAACTGTGATTGAGTTTGTCCATTTGGTTAATAACCTGATGTATTAACAACAAATCGCTTTCTGTGCTATTCTATGTTTATAAAAAGAAACTTAAAATCAAATCAAATTCTACATGGTACATATAATCAAGGAATTAATATTTGGATTTCTTGTTGACTATTTAATTCCTCCCATTTCTCATATTGTGATGTTGATACTACATAAGCATGTATTGGCTGCCAAGTCACATAGTGTTTAGTGGGGCACACAGCCAGATCAGATTATGGCTACATATTTCAGATGCCTTATATGACATTGTTAAAATCTTAAAACTTTTATATTCATTTTGTCAACTATGTCAAATGGCTGCCTAATGCCACGAGCTTTATTTGGAAATTCCAGGTAGTCAAACTAGGCTCTGGGTCTTAATTGGAAGATATCCTTATGAAGGATCTATGCTGTTTCTTACTGGGTTCGATGCCATTTTTGGATGTAAATGCAATAAGTATAACATTTCTGAAGATGTGTCTGATATCGTTTTTTAAGAATCATAAATTCCACCAAGCTACACTGGCATCCAATCAAAATCAAGCTAACTTCACGTGTCCATTTTGGATTGTCCAAATTATTTGCAATGGCATACCATCTAGTACCAATACAGGTTAATCTGATTGAAATGGATGGTTTTATTAATTCTGCCAGAATTATGTTGCTGTTTGAGCTGCACAGCTGGCCATTCTAAGATATTATTTTAAGATGAATTGTGTCGACTATATAGGGAAAGAGATAAAGACAATGATGGAAAGCTCAATTTCCAAGAGTTCTTCAGTGGATTATTTTATTCAATTCTACACTATGATGATGAAGGCATAACAGATGACACTGGTGGCTCTGATGCACCAGCTAAAAAGTCATTTTCACACCTTGATCTGGATAATGATGGGTAAATATTACAATTTTCAGTGTTTTATAAGTTGTTTCTATGCATTTAAGGAAGATCCTCTCTGACTGACATAGGAGGCTTTTCCCCATTTTGAAGGTTCTTATCAGCAGATGAGCTAAAGCCTATAATTGATAATCTCCATCCGTCAGAACACTTCTATGCCAAGCAACAAGCTGACTATGTAATATCTCAGGTAACAGCCGGCTACATCTTGCTTTACTTATAGGATAAGTTGATATTCCTTCGTCTCTAATTCCGTCATTATGCACTGTAGATTCTGGGCTTAATTTTTTTCTCGTGTTTGGGAACAGCTTGATCTTATTCATCATGATTAGCTTCACTTTGTGCTGAAGAATAAATCTTCTAGCATATTATGTTTTTCTTGGTAGACTCGATAACTTTTACTTGCTAATAACCCTTTTCTACAACTATGTAGGCTGACACAAACAAAGATGGACAGTTGAGCATGAACGAGATGATCGAGAACCCCTATGTCTTTTACAATGCTTTATTCACAGAAGATGATTATGGTTTTCATGATGAGCTCCGTTAGTTCCTTAGTCAAGTAAGGGCACAAACTTGTACTCTGTTCTGCACTTCTGCTTTCTGCATTTGCCAGCTTTCATTTGTTCACAACTTTGCATACTGTAGCAGCACAAAGCTGTATGGAATCACCACTGTAGGAAGTCGGAAGACTGTTATGCACTGCTGAGATCATTTCCATGGGCTGTCTGAATTCATCCACCATTTGATGGTACATCACTTGACCTACCTCTTAGCTTTAAGCCTCAAATATTTATAACCTGGCGATTTTTGTTTCTTGGCAGGTGATTCCATGTAAAAACAAGCATGTTTTTAGATGCACCTGTTCTGGAAGCTGTGTGTTCTTTTGTAGCCTTTAGCCCTTTTCTAGTTTGTTTTTAATCATATGTGTACGGTGAGGATGTGAGTGAGTTTTGGTTCTTTCATTTTTTGATACGAAACTAGCTTCTTCCAGAATCACAATCTGTAAACCATACAAAACCAGGAAGTTGTTACTATAAGCCATGAATTGCCCATCCTGAACTTTATATCTGTAAAGATTGTGCAAATCTCGTGAAATCTGCCAAATTCATGTTTCGTCCGTACAACATACAAATTTTTCTACTGAAGTTGTATCTGCAATACGTGCAATCTTCGCCATCTATTTATATATAGATATGTATATATACCTATAATAATATACTCAATATACCATACTACACACAAGAAGACACACCGTGGTACCATCACGGATGCAGTTCCACACGTGACCCCAAGCTAGGCAGTGCCAGTCTCAGCCCCTCCTGATGGCCCTGAGCTTGACGCCGTGGCGGAAGGCAAGGACGAGGTCGAAGTCGAACTGGATGGGCGACTCCATGGCCGGCGAGTGTCGGAATGTGTACCGGCGGTAGAGCTCGACCACGGCGAGCTTCACCTGCTGCAGCGCGAACTTGTGGCCGATGCACGCCCTCGGGCCGACGCCGAAGGGGATGTGCGCGTACGGGTGGCGCGTCCGCTCCTCCTCCGCCTCCGGTGCGAACCGCTCGGGCCGGAACTCCTCCGGGTCCGGGAACTGCGCCGCGTCCCGGGCCAGCACCCCCGGCGCCAGCCACACGTACGCGCCCTGTCGTGCAAAAGCAAAACCGTCGTTACGTTTGTTTGCCGCAAGCGGTCGAACTGGCTGACAGCATGCAGCTTGCTCAGATCGCCGGCGGCGCCGCGCGCAGCGTTACCTTTGGGAGGATGTAGCCGCCGATCTCTACGCGCTCGGAGGTCTGCCTGGCGATGAGCGGGGAGACGAGGTGGAACCGCATGGCCTCCTTGATGACCTGGTCGAGGTAGGGGAACCTGCTCTGGAGCTCATCGGCGTCCGGCACGCGTCCGTGGCGCGGCTCGAAGCCGTCCACCTCCCGGAGCAGCTTCTCCTCCACGCGCGGGTGGCACGACACCAGGTACACCACCGACGACAGCGTGAACGCCGTCGTCTTGGTGCCGGCGATGAGGTGCTCGTACGCCAGCGCGCGGACGTGCCTGTCCGCCAGCGCGAAGTCCTTCGCGCCGCCGCCGTTCTCCATCGCATCCAGCAGCGCCGCGATGAGGTCCAGCGGGGCGGCGCAGTCGCCGTCTCTGCCACGCCGGCGCCTGGCCCGATCTCGCCGCCGGCCGGCTATGATCGCGTCGATGCGGGAGCACAGCCGGCGCTCGTTCTCGTTCATCTTGTAGTCCGCCGTGCCGGGCACCCGCCGTAGCAGCCGCTTGCACGGCGTCTGGACGCACGGGAGGAAGAGACCAAGGATGGTGGACAGCGAGCTCGACAGGTCCATCTTGACGAACTCCATGGACCTCTTGTACTCCTTGAGGAACTCCCTGACGTTGTCGTCGCCCTCGCCGCCTTCGGTCTCGCCACTGCCTGCGGCATTCTTCGACAGGCCGAACTCGATGCCGAAGGCCGTCTTGCCGATGATGTCGATGGCCATCCGGAGCGAGAGCTGGCAGAAGGGGATGCAGTCCTGGTCCGGGCAGCCGGCGATGTTGGCCACCAGTATGTCCACATACGACAGCATCACTGGAATGAGCCCGGCGAGCCGCGTTGGCTGGTAGAGCGGGACCACTGTGCTCCTCATCGCTGACCACGTTGAGTCCCTGACATCATATGAGTAAGCTCACTGCCTCAATCAACAAAATTCATGCAAATTTCAGACAACAAAATTTTTTCATGACTTCTCTATCTGAACATTCCGGTCTACCTGCATCTAGGCAATGTTTCTAACTTCCAAACTACTAGTCAGTTCATTCGGTTCAACAGCAACTAGCAGCACCTGGTGAGGAAGAGGGCGTCCTGGTGCAGGGAACCGATTGACGGCGGCGGGGTGCTCCGATTGCGGATGTCCTTGAACTTCTTGATGCCAACTTCCTTGCACAGCTCGGCATTGGCCACGATCACCAGTGGCTGCCTTCCCATGTGAAACCTGCGCATGGTGACCATGGTAACTTCTCCCTCTACGCATACTGTAAATCTGCAGAGCCTTGATAGTCACGAGGATTACCTGAAGATTGGACCATACTCCTTCGCAATGGCACGGAAAACGTCTGGCCCATTCTTGGCAAGAAGGTGAAGATGGCCTATGGGGAATCTGGTTGGAGGCCCTGGGACTCTCCTCACACTCCAGAAGGGTGCATAGAAGTATATCAGAAATGCGCTGAAGAGGGACAGAAAAGATACCAGCACCAGAACAGGCACGCTTTGGTGAGAAACAGCGCCAACTGTGAGTGCAGCATCGCAAATGGTTGCAATCTCCATGAGAGAAGCTTGGACACTGGCACGTGTGGAAGAGAGGAGCTGCCTAGTTGCTCAGAGTTTTGGTGTCCCACTGATGCTTCTCGTGCCAATTTATAAAGGGCGAGGAGAATAGCATCCGATATTGTCCTCATGTTTGTAGTCACCAGATCATGCTGTTCCAGTCGATCTGCGCCATACGATCAATACTATCAGAGGAATCACATGCTGCGTATGACGACACATCAGCGGTTACCAATCCAGAGGTTTTGTCACAACATGTCAATGAACGTTATCGTTTTCTGATCTTTCATTCATGTGAACAATTCTGTAATGCATTATCAACCACGGATTGTTTAAAGCAATTATTTGCATACGGTGGCTATTTTTCTCCTGATTTACTATTTTTTTTCTATCTTTGCCAATGCTTGATTAATTAACCTTTTCTTGTAATTCAGTTCATATATACACAATTCTGTTGCATAATCAAAGTTCTAAACATTGCAGGGAATTAGAAAAAGGATTTTACTGCACGGACTGTAAGTCTGAAAGGGTCACAGGAGCAACTGCAGCTATTTAGGCCAGCAGAAGAACCTGCTCACAATTTTATTACATTTATAACCTAATAATAATAAAAGACTTGTGAGCGAAAAAGCAGAACAAATAAAAAAAATGTATGGATGTGTTGGCATACAAATCGGTGATTTGTTTCAGGACTGAATTCACCTAAGTAAGCCATACCAATTGAATTCTATTCAAAATTATGAACCTGCAGCCAGCATATGCACAGACAGCACAAACAGAAGAAAGCACTAAGTTCTGGAGTTCTCCTCACATCATTTTCTCATGGAAATTGGGTCTGGTAATGGACTAGTCACTTCAGACACATTGTAAAGCACATGTCGCAATGACATTGGTCACACGATGGCGACAGTAACAAATCGCATTGAAAGGAAGAATCGAATTGACCAGAGCGATGCGCTGATTCAGGTACTGTAATGTGTCCGAGAGATTCACACCATCTATTTCATGTGTGCAATCTTAGCCAATTGCAATCAAAATTGCTGTCTGATAATCAGTATATGAATGGAATAAACTTTCTAAGGATCTCCAGATTCCAAGTATTGACACTACGATTCTGACAAAACAGAATTGACACCACCATACTAGACTGGCAGGTATCTTTCAATCTACTTTTTCTCTCTAAGAGTTTGTACGATACAAAGGTCCCAATCCATCAGCTGAACAAACAACAGCTGTAAACCTGAAATTAACTTGATGTCCATGAATCATGACATGATAAATTTCCTATTTAGTAAAAAAGTCAAAACTATGCTAGACTGACAGAGAACACAGAAAGGCTTTCGATGGCGTTATAATATTTGGAATGTTTGGAAAGAGCGTAATAGAAGAACTTTTCAGAACAAGTCAATGCAGCTAAGCCAAGCCAAGTAGCGATGCTTTGCAAGGAAGATTTACAGCAGTATCAGTTAGCAACAAGGCCCAATGCGGGAGTGTAGCAGCCGTAATTTTAGTTTTATTTTTAGTGATCAACGGGTCTTGTTTTGGCTGTTTTCTGTCTCTGGGTCTTTTATCCTTCCTAGTGCTGCGTTGTAGGAAGCTCGATTTCAGTTTCCAGCACTAGGGGGCCTGCTAGTCGAGGGGACGGCCATAGTGCCGTGGTGGCGAGTTTTTTCTCTCCTTTTTCGTTGTCCCTGACAGATAAGCCTAGTGCTCGGCAACACTTGTATCTTACTTTTCTGTATTTTACTTTTCTTGGCTTTCAAGCCTTTGTAATAGGAATATGCTCAGCATCCACTTTAGTGGTTAGGAAATATACTAAAGCAGGTAGAAAGTAGATGTTGCCCTCTACCCATAAAAGCAGGAGCACACCCTTGTATCAGGACAAGCCATTGCATTTCCTTTCAATCCAAAGCGGCCAAGGGCTAAGCTGTCCTCTGGTAGTTTCCAAATCTTAATCTGAGATTTATTTGGGCCAACAACTGGTATCGGATCCTTAGGTTCTTGAGCGAGCAGAGAGCCATGTCCACCGCCAGCCAGATCGCCAGAGCCCGCGCTGCTACCGGCACCAGGGCCGGAGCAGGAGCCGATGACCGCACGACGCACCTTGTTGCTGCAGAGGCAGCGGCTGCGGCGACAGCCGAGACGGCCAGGCAGGCAATGATTGCGGCCCAGGCCGTGGTGGCTATAGCCGCAGCGCTGCGTGCTGAGATGGAGCGGGAGGAGCCGGAGCC